GGTAAGATACTTTATTTCTTTGGACTATATTTCCTCTTCTGTACAGTGGAGTTGTTGGAGAAGGTGACCTCCAAGATCTCTTCCATTTATAAATCTGATCCTTGTATCTTTTAAGGAGATGGAGATATCAAGGATTCAGCAGGCTCTGAACTTGTGGCTAGGAAGGATATGATAAGAAGGGTCCAGCCCCTTGGCCTCTTATGCCTAAGACCTCATATGTAGCAGGGAAATCCACCTAAGTGAACAGACTCCTTAGAGTTCTGCTCCTTCCTCCCTTTCTTCATTTCTTTCTTCCTCCTTTTTTTCCTTCTTTCCTTCCTTTCTTCCCTCCTTCCCTCCTTCCTTCCTCCCTCCCTCCCATATTAAATTTCTTCTCTGTCTTGGGCAATTCCTGCTATCAAGGAACTTAGTTTAGGGGTGAGGTGGGGGGGGTCTTTCAGCACAATCAATTTTTAACCACAATGTCAGGCCCAATTTAATGAATGCTATCACAGAGGCCCAATCTCTCTGCTTTACAAGCTGCTTACCAGTAGTGTGGGAATGAAACTATGGCCCTTTTTAGGGCTAATTAGCAATAGTTTATTCCTCTTTCCTCTTCCAGATCAACCTCTTCATACCTCTTAGTGTGAGTATGGCATTCCAGTGTGATATAAGATTCCCTTAGAAGTCATTATAGCACTTGCCTCAGAGCCTTTGGATTTTTTTATGTTTTTGGCTGTCTTGGGCCCACTTTTCTCTTTGCATTCTCTCTTGGTGATCTCATTAGTTCCCATGGGTTCAGCTAGTAACATGAAGTTACTCTTAAGCTCCATATTTAATTCTTATCTTTCTCCTTAGCTCCAATCCCACATCACCAGCTATCTGTAGGATATCTCCAAGTTGATGTCCCATAAGTATCTTAAACTCACCATATATAAACACAAGTCATTGTTTTCCTGCCAAAACCCATCTCTTTTCCTAATTTACTTATTTCATTGGAAGCCACTGCCATCCCTGGGTTCAAGGCTTATACTTAACCAGCTGTATGACCCTGGGAAAATCACTGAACCTTTCTGAGTCTCTGTTCCTCGTCAGTCAAATGAGGGAGTCATAAGTAATGGCCGCTTTAGTCCTTTCTAGCTCCAAATGTATGATCCTGTGACCCTCCCATTCATCCAGGTTCTAGGCAGATTAGAATTGTTTCTTGATGCTTTATTCTTAGTCATCCCATTTACATTTGGTCAGTTATCCAGTACTCTTTAGTTAGCTTCCCCCAATCTTTGGTATTTGTTTGCTTTTCTCCATTTATGTAGCCATCATCCAGGTTCAGGTCCTCACCTCTTGCCTGTACTGTTGCCATAGTGTGCCTGCTTTAAATCTCTCCCCTCTGCAGTCCATTCTGCACACAGCTGCCACATTGATATATCTAAGTCATCGACACCTAATGTCACTCCCTTCATCCTCAAGAAACTTTAGTAGTTCCCTATTACCTCTAGAGTAAAATACACATAATGGCATTGAAAGGCTTTGACAGTTTGCCTCCAGATTATCTTTTCACAGAGACTTCATATTCCTCCCTTTACTTCTTTCATGTTCCACCCATGCTGGCCTGCTTACCATTCCCTGTATGTGACATTCCTCCTCTTCCTCCTCCTCCTCCTTCTGGTGTAGTCAAATGGTTATTCATTCATTCATTTATTTAGTATAGGCATCTTAGAAATTATATTTTTTCTAATTATGTAAAAACAGTTTTTAGCATATTTTTAAAAATTTTGAGTTCCAAATTCTCTTCTTCCTTCCTGAGATGGCAAACAATTTGATATAGGTTGTACATGTGCAGTCATGCAAAACATAATTCCATATTAGTCGTGTTGAAAAAGAAAACAGACCAAAAAAAAAACCACAAGAAAAAATAAAGCAAGCAACAAATATTATGCTGTGATCTGTATTCACACTCCATCAGTTCTTTTTCTGGAGGTAGATAAAATTTTTCATCATAAGTCCTTTGGAATTTTCTTGGATATTATTAGATTTCTGAGAGTAGCTGAGGAATTCACAGTTGATCATCATAATAATGTTGTGTTCCTATGTGCAATGTTCTCCTGGTTCTGCTCATTTCACTTTGTATCAGTTTATAAGTCTTTCCAGGTTTTTCTAACAGCATCCTAATCATCATTTCTTATAGCACAATAGTATTCTATCACAATCATATACTACACCTTGTTCAGCCATTGGGCATCTCTTCAGTTTCCAATTCTATGACCCCACAAAAAGAGCTGCTATAAAAATTTTTTGTATATGTAGGTTCTTTTCCTTTTTTTATTTTTAAAAATCTTGATGTAGACCTAGTAGTGGTATTGCTGATTTTATAACCCTTTGGGCATAGTTCCAAATTGCTTTCCAGAATGGTGACATTCCATCTTCTACCTTTGCATAGGCTGATCCCATATCTAGCATGCCTAATTCTGCCTTGATGAATCTCTAACTTCTCTGATTCCTTCTTTCCCTTCCTAGTGGAAATGTAAGCGCTTTGAGTACAGGGCCTGTTTTGTTTTTTTGTTCTGGCACATAGCAGGCATTTAGTAAATGCTTGTTGAATTAAATTGAGTTGGTACTTTTCCAGAAGTGAAGTGAACATTAGTGACTTAAGCCTCTATAAATCATGTGGTTGCCCTGGAATCCTGGAGCTCTGCCTGGTCTGTGTTGGGTGGGCAGTTGTCCAACCCTGTTTCGGTAAATTAAACCCATGAGAACCCTATTTGTCAGTGAGTAGAATCCATGGCTTCTGACATAGCCCAATATTGCAAAACTGTGTGGGGTGGGAACAGCCAGGGGTGAATTCATGTATGGTTTTGGTTGTGGACTCATCTTGCCTGGAAGCTCAGTTTTATTTCCCCAGGCATGAGCATCAACTCCCAGTGTACTCAAACCCCAATGACTTATGGAGTCAATCATTATTAGAAGCTATAAACCCTCTTCCAGGAGGCAGACCTGCCCATTTGAGCAGTATGAGTGTAAGGTAAATGGACAGTTACTGCTGAGGTGATTTTTATAGGAGTGCGAAAATCTGTATTAGATCAGCAAGAAGAATTGCTAGGTGAATTATAAAACTGCTTCAGCTTGACTTCTCACATCTCACCTGAGAGCAGTTGCATTGGTCTGATGCTCTCTCTTGTTTGGAAAACTTCAATTTCATCATTCGTTTTAATCCTGATAAAGATCCCAGGGATCTGTATAGGGTCTGAATAACTGTCTGGAAGAAAATAAAACCTGGGAACCTTCAGCCATATGAAAAGAAGGGAAGTTGAATGGATCTCCATCCTGGGGCTCTCTGTGCATCCTGAGTTCTGGTTTCATTTGTATCCCAAATCCAAGAAGAGTTGTTGGCTTAGTGTTGTTGTTTTAAAAAATCCCTTTTGTTAGTTATGTCTACTTAGAATTCAAAACTGCTTCCTGCCTGGTTCCCAGCATGCAGTTCTCAGGAATTGAAAGACTGTGACATCTTCCCAGATTTCATGTATTAGACATTAGACTCCAGCAGTTGGCTACAGGTGTTAGAATGAGAAAATAGCAAAATGGTAATGGGAGATTAAAAAAGAAGAGACTTCTGCCTTGACCCAAGATTCAGTGTTGAAAGAGAAAGACAAGCGGGTTGGAGTTTCACAGAGAATTGGCAGGGCCTGTTCTGTGTGATTCATAAACATTCAATGAGACTTTTATTAAACACCTACTGTGTGCAGAGTACTAAGAATATAAAAATGAAGACACTGGGACAGGCTCTGCCTTCTAAGAACTTCCATTCCACAAGGGTACAGGGAAGACATGACTTTTACTTTTAATTCCATGAAGCATTTATTACGTGCTTACAATGTGCCAAACACTGCTGGTACTGGACTTAAAAATATAAAAATGAAACAATCTCTATCTTCAAAGAGTTTCCATTCTTCTGAAGGGAAGAATATAATACAAAGTAGAGAGTGTTTGGGGCAAAAGAGAGATTTGATCAGAAGGCATCCATGAAGAAGTAGTACCTTGAGTTGGGCAGGATACTTGAAGAAAGCAATAAAATTAATAAATGGAATTAAGTCAGGGTTAGTATCTTTCAGGCCTTGGAGGCAGCCTAAAGGAATCCACGGTAGTGAAGGAAATCACATTGAGAGTATAGAACAGCCATGGCTAATGCAGAAATACATTTTGCATGACTTCATGTGCATAATGGGTATCCTTGCCTTTTTAATGGGTAAGGGAAGGGCTGGAGGGAGAGAGAATTTAAACTGAAAATTAAAAAATTTAAAACAATTTTAAAATGCAGTTGTAGAAAAGCTAATAATCCAATTTATCTGAAATGTAAATTGGGTCAAGGGAAAGGATTAAGCAATGATAGTGAATAGAAGAGGAAAAAATGTTTAAATTTTTAATTTTACTAAAGAAATTGGGGCTGATGTTCTTTAAAGAATTTCTGGAAGTAGTTGCCTCGTGGTTCAGTAAAGTGCCCATGTAGTCAGGCCCCGTATTTATTATGGCCCTTCTTGCAAACCCTTTTCTTTTTATTTTCCATTCTAAATACTCAGAGGAATTAAAAGGACAAAGTCTGGCCTTTGAAATCTGTGTCCCCACTTACCTGTGCCTGTTCACTCAACACCACATAAGGCTATAGAGTCTTAAACCCCAGGGGACCCTATTCTGTGGTAAAGGCCATCTCATTTCCATATGAGATGGCCTTCCTTCAACATCACCTTCTTGACATGGCATTACCATCATTTTCTTTGTCAAATTAGTGGGAGTGAATTCAAGCACAGATCTTTCTTTCTTTCTTAATTTATAACCATGATTGTATCCCTTTTGTACATATTAAGAAGATGCAACTGTGTGTATGAAATGATTAGTCATTCTTATATAGCAGAAGAGACCATAGGCAAGTGAGTATGTTGTGTGTGTGACAAAATGTTGCCATTTCCTCTAGGAATTGCGTTTTATGGCTATTATATAATTTCTAATTTACTTTTTCCTCTTCCTTGTAGCAAATTGCCTAGCTGGGCTAGAGCTGTTGTTCCCAAGATATTTTATGTTACAGAGAAGGCTTGGAACTATTACCCTTACACAATTACAGGTAAGTCTTCAATCAAGCCAATCTATAAGCACCTCCAGGCAGTGAATGTAAGGATGTAGTGAAAATTGTCCAGACCAGTGGTCTCCAGGTAGGGGTTACGGGAACAATATGTGTTCAACAAAAATCTGAGGGTGAGAAGATGGGTCCATCCTACCATCTTCACAAGAACCAGTTGTGGGACTTGTCTTGTCCTTTAAACATCCCTATTTTTTAACTGCCCAGCACTCCTCCACCTTTACCCCCCTCCCTCCTTTGTACAAGCCCTCAACTTCCCTTCTCTGCCTGTATTTTTTCAAGTGTTGGCCCCTCATAGCATTTATTACCTAATCATAACAGGTGCACTCAAAGCAGAAACTGCAGAAATACCTTTGGGAAAGTATATTTGTACCCCTTCCCCCTCCCCAAACACTTCCCCTGGATTACCTCATCATCATATCAGGCCCACCTCAGAGGGAGACTGGGCATTAAACTTTCTAAGAATAGGGATTTATTTAATTCTATTTGTTTCCCTAGCACAGTGTCTGACATATAGTAAATGCTTCATAAATGCTTATTGATTACGCATACACTACCCATTTTGAGGTTGTACGGAATGAATTGCACAGGATGAGCACAGGCCCATGGGCTGTTATCTTTCTCTCCAAACTCAACCATCATCTGAACTTTCCTGTATAGGTCCAGTGTACCCCCATCCTCCTAGTTACCCAGGTTTATAGCCTCAGCATCATCCCATACTCCTCACTTTCACTTACCCCACCATTGATCTAGTCAGTTGCCAAACACTGTCATTTCTTATCCACATGACATCTCTTTCCCTTCTCTCCACTCCCACAGTCACCACTCTAATTTAGGCATCACTTTTGCCCTGGACCCTTTCAGTGGTTTCCTATTTAGTCTCCTTGCCTCAAGACACACTCCAGACTATCTTCCATACAAAACAAATTTCCTGAAACACAAGCCTGACCTTGTCACCCCTACTCAAGAAACTCCAGTGTCTCCCTGTTGACTTTCTTTCTTTCTTTCTTTCTTTCTTTCTTTCTTTCTTTCTTTCTTTCTTTCTTTCTTTCTTTCTTTCTTTCTTTCTTTCTTTCTTTCTTTCTTTCTTTCTTTCTTTCTTCTTTCTTTCTTTCTTTCTTCTTTCTTTCTTTCTTTCTTTCTTTCTTTCTTTCTTTCTTTCTTTCTTTCTTTCTTTCTTTCTTTCTTTCTTTCTTTCTTTCTTTCTTTCTTTCTTTCTCTTTGTCTCTGTCTCCCTTCCCTGCCTTCCCCTCCCCTCCCCTCCCGGCGCGTTAGGTTAACTTACTTGCCCAGAGTCACACAGCTAGTAAGTGTCAAATGTCTCCCTTTTGACTTTAAGGAACAAATGCAAACTTCTATTTAGCATTTAATACCCTTCAGGATTTGGCTCATTTCCAATTTTTTTATACATCACTTTTCTTCCTTCCATGCTAGAGTCCAGCCAAAGTGGTTTTCTTGATGTACCATATACTCACAAAAAAACACAACTCAAGTATCCAAGCAATGGGAAATTAAAGTATGACCCTATCCATTAAGCAAGCTCATATAAAGCAGAGTGCATTTAGATGGAAAACTTTCTGCTGAATTGAAACAAGAGGCAGTTCATTTTTCCTTGTTTTTGTATTGTGCATGATAATATCTACATATAGTTAAAAATGATTTGTGTTTTAAAGCCATTATGCTCTGGCTGTTATGACCCAAGATATTTTATGTTACAGAGATTGTTACATTATGTATCCTCTAATAAAAAAGTAGCTAAAAAAAGAAATGCATCTGTTTAGCTGGCTAGTTACATTGATCAAATTAACTGAATCATTAATTACTAACAAACCATTATTATTTACAAGCTTGCCATATCCTCCAGTATATACATAGAGATTTTTCTCAAATAATGAAGCACGTTTAATCACATTGCTCTCACTAAAAAGAATCATTATTAAACAATTTAAAAATATTATTTATTTTATATTTATCCCATAAACTTTTCCTTCTTGTGTGTCTTATAATAGCAGAGTAGCATATTCATATGATTTATACACTACACTCTAAGCTCCCTCTCTCTATTCTTATTTCTTGCACAATTTCTGGAAAAATATACTAGGATATAGTAGGTATAGGTAGTTAGGGTAGAAGGTTAACCTTGGAATCAGGAAGATGTGGGTTCTAGTCCTGCTTCTGACTTATATTCTGTGTAACTGTGCAAGTTATTTAACCTCTCAGTGCCCCAGGGAAACTCTTTAAATCTATAAATTACAGGTGGAAAGGAGTTTCCATACTAGTTGTTTCATACAGTGGAAAAATTGCAGATCTAGACTACAAAAAAGAAAGAAAAAATTGGGGGTATATGATAAAATATGTTTTGCTGATGAGATGCAAGATGAAAAGAGTGTGGAGATCACTGGTCTAGGCATCGGACTATTTATTCCCAAAGAAGCATAGTTGTGTGTGTGTGTGTGTGTGTGTGTGTGTGTATTTCCCTCTCTTATAAAGTTATGAGAATAAAATGAAATAACATATCTAAAAGACTTGGTAAATTCTAAAGTGCTCTAAAAATATCAGCTATTATTAGTAGTATTATTATTGTCATTTCTTAGTAGCATTTCCCTTTACCAGTCGCTAAAGAGAAGAAAGAAAAAAAAGAATATTAAACTAGTCCATCTTAGGATCATAGAATCCAGACCTAGAAGAGACCGTAGAAACCATCTAGCTCACCATTCCATTTTACAGATGAGGAAACTGAGTCCCAAAAAGTCAAAATGACATAGCCAAGGTCCCACAGCTAGTAAGCAACAGAGCAGTGATTTGAACGCAGGGCTTCTGATTTAAAATCCATTGTTCTTTCCTTGCCACTGCTCTACCTTCATTCATATTCTAATATGTCATAGAGTAAATTTCTTTCACAAACAGACATATAAATTGTCCATGGCAATCCAAAAAGCTCACTAGCACAAAAACTTCCCTTGTAATCTGATTATGCAGAAAATTCTACTTCTTGCTCCAGGCGAAGTAACATGGATTCATATATATTCATATTCATGGATACAATATATTGTATACTCAGCATTCTCCCAGAAATTGTGGAAGAAATAAGTAGTTAGAGAGAGGTTGCTTAGGATAGAGGATAGAGAACTAGCCTTGGAATAAGGAACATGTGAGTTCTAGTCCTGCATCTGACACATTTTGTGTGACCATGGGCAAGTAATTTAACTTCTCAGTGCTCCCAGGGAACTCTTTAAATCCATAAATTACAAGTGGAAGAAGTTTCCATATTAAAAGAAGCAGAAGGATCAATTCTTTCCCTTATGAAATAACCCAGGCTGCTAAAACTCTGGTACCAGTAGAACAAACTTTTCTGTAGTCAATGGATAAATCTTTTTCCACTTAAAATTTGAACTGCAAAAATTTCTCTGACGTCGACTCTTCTTTACCAACACTTTTCACCTGAGCTCTAGGTTCACGCTCTGATTTTATGTTAGTCCTTTGGTGTTTAGCTGGCCACAGATTAATTGAATTTGATCCCCTTGTCTGCCCAATCAGGAGAAGTGTCATTATTAATTTTGCATGTGAAAGCATTCCAAGAGCAATTTTAATGGTCTGCTCACTTAACATAATTGGGAGGGGGGTGGTTTTCTTTATACTTTTTTTTGTCATTATAATTTACTGGTATATTTATTGGTTTTATAGTTTGTATTAAGTGGAAGTAATGGCATTTATCTTGTCATCTCTCTTTTTTCCCCCTCCACACTTCTTTCCTTCAAATGAAATTCTGGGACCAGAATACACAGTAAGTTTTAATCATTTTCAAATTCTCAGACTAAGATCAGTGAAGTAATTAGAATGTCTCTTGTGTCTGTTCTTGTAAGTTCCATGAAAAATAGAAGAGTAGTTCAGAATAGGAAATATTTAAACTCAGGCGATAACTCAGTTATATATAATGTATGAGCTTGAGTGTTCTCATTTGTTCAGATGGATTGATGTTAATTTAAAGTGCTTTTATAGTTGCTTAAGAAAATCATTTAGCATATTTTTGTAATTTAAAATGATGTGTCTGTTTTATCTGTGTCAAGTGTCTTCAGTGGAAAAGCAATTTTTGAAAAGATGTTTTTTAAATGATGGCTGTTACTTGGAAACAGAACCTGGGGTTACATACAGTTCATGGACCTGTAATCTGTTTTATTAAATGGCTAGGTATTAAAATGATAGTTGAACGTCTAAGGTGGCTCAGTGGTTAGAGAATTGTGCCTGGAGTCAGGAAGACCTAAATTCAAATCCTTCCTCAAGCACTTATTGTGTGACTCTGGGCAAGTCACTTAACCTTTCTGTACCTTAGTTTCCTCATCTGTAAAATGTCAGGGTCATAATAGCATCCACTTCCCTGGATTATTGTGAGATTCACATGAGATAACACATGTAAAACATTTTGCAGATCATGCTATGTTTTGCAATTCATTGCTATGTTAATTCTAGCTTTTATTTTAAATTACTATGACTGTTATCATCATCATCATTTTTTATTAAAATAGCAAGGGCATGCCACAAAAATGTTTTGAAACAAAGTTCTGTTCTGAATTTCTCCAGCACTCTGGACTGGACCATTTTTGTGTCTGGGGGTAGAGACAAATCATTTTAAACTTCATTCTGTAAGTTTTCAGTATCCCATGTTTGACTGATACGTGATTATACTTGCCTAGCCCCTTGAGAGGAGCAGGAACATTTAAAAAAAAAAGTAGTAGAAGAGATTCTTTCCTGGCTTTCCTATCTTCACTTTTTTTCCTCCTTTTCCCCTTCTCTCTTCCAAGGATTATAGAATTAGAGCTGGGAAGGGGCTTTAGAAGCTACCTAGGTCAAGCCACTCACTGACTGATGATTCATTGCCAGGTGTACTTCAGGTCAAAGCTGCTCTTGTTAAAAACAGCCCAAACGTTGACTTGGCATTACAGCCTGCCTCCTTCCCACAGACATTTCCTGATCTCTTCTCTGTTCTGGACGCAGAGCCTGTTTATAGTTTTTCATGGCTGTGTCCTCATCAGTTCTTGCTTTCAATGCTTTCCTACTGTGCTGATTGCTTTGGCTCTTTCAGATTTCAAGCAGCCCATCTTGGGACCTTTCCCAAACTATCTTTCCCTTTGTGTTAGAAAAAGATTCAAGGTCCTTTACAACTAACTCTCCGGGAGTCCCGGTTCTCACCTAGGATTGTTTTACCTCACTCTCCTTTAGGGGGTCATTCACAATGCCCTCATCTCCATGCCATCTTCTCTTCTTAGGTCTTACCTTAAAACAGGAATTCCTAGCCTTTTCTGTATTTTGGACTGCTCTTTCACAGTCTGCTGAAGCTTGTAGGTCCCTTCTCAGAGTATTTTTAAAATATAAAATTTAAAAAAAGTTATATAAAGGTTATAAAAATATCTGTAAAACAGAGTCACAGTTCAAAGCTTAAGAACCTTTAACTTAGAACAATGTCGTATGTATAATTCAATTACATTTCAGTTATTCAGATTTCAGGATTCCTCACTGTCTTCCTGTCCTCCCCAACTCCTGTGCTTAAACTGGGGGACTTCAGCATTCATGTTGATGCTCCTTCGAACTCTAATATTATCTGGCCATGCCCTCCTATCATCATTTCCCTTTTCCTTATCCCTTACCTCTCTTCATGGAGACCTCCAGTCCCTCCATTCCTCAGTATTTTCTTAGGTCATTACCCTCTACTCAGATGTCATTTTCCCGTTTTCCCAGTCTCTACTTATAGTTAACCAGCTTAGTTACATACTGTCATCTACTTGCAGACCCATAACCTCTTTGTTCTCATCCTTTGCCAAACTCCAGCCCTGAATTATTTCTACCATCTACCATCTCATTTGGACCTTCACTGAGACAATTGATCTTTTTATTCTTCCCTCACTGAATCGCTATGTAACTCTTTACTTTTAAAAAACAATTTTTTTTATGCTTTTTGGTGAGGCTGTTGAGGTAAGTGTTAAGTGTCTGAGGCTGGATTTGAACTCAGGTCCTCCTGACTCCAAGGCCAGAGCTGTATTCACTGCGCCACCTAGCTGCCCCTAAAAAACAATTTTAAATCTTCTCTCCTCTAGCTTCCTACACCTTGCTCCTAACTCTGACAGTCTAGTACCTTGAATCTTACTTTGAGAAGAAGATTGAGGCCATTCTACACAAGCTCACAAATCTCCTTTTTTCTTCTCAATGGCCCTTAACACTACCCTTCATTCTCTCTTCTTTTCCTCCACTCTCTGAGAGTTTAAGTCCTTCTTCTCACCCAAGACCTGCCCCTCTCTGTTGTTCCCTTGATCTTATCCAGTCCTGTGTTCTTGCAGTCTCAGTCAGTCCTCCCTAATCTTGTCTGTCCCTATCTACTGGTTTCTTCTTTACTGCTTTCTTGCTTGTCTCCCTCATTCTTTTTTTTAAAAATTTTATTAATCTATTTTGATTTATCAACAATCACTTCCATATGCTTTTGAGTTGAAAATTTTTCTCCCCCTTCCCCCTCCCAGACGGCGCACCATTTCCTACTAAACATATTTTCACATTAGTGAAGTTGTAAGTAAAAATTAAAACCAATAGGAGGAACCATCAGAAAGATGAAACAGAACTCAACAGAAGGTAAAAATATGTGAGAGTGATTCGACTTCCATAGTTCTTTCTTCGGATGTGGACAGCATTTTCCATCCCGAGGCCTCTGGAGATGTCTTAGATCCTTGTAATGCTGAGAAGGCTTCAGTTTAACAATATTAGTCATCGCATAACGTGGCTGTTATTGTATACAAAGTCCTCTTGGTTCTGCTCACTTCACTCAGCATCAGACCACATAAGTCTTTCCAGGTTTTTCTGAAGTCAGCCTGTTCATCATTGCTTATTGTCTCCCTCATTCTTAAAAAAATAAAACGAAACAAAAAAACCTTCCCTTAAATCTGTTATTCAGTTGTGTATGACTCTTTGTGACCCCATTTGGAGTTTTCTTGGTAAAGATACTGAATTGTTTTGCCTTTTCCTTCTCCAGCTCATTTTACAGATGAGGAAACTGAGGCAAACAGGGTTAAGTGACTTGCTTAGGGTCACACAGCTAATAAGTTTCTGAGGCTAGATTTGAACTGAAGTCTTTCTGACTCGACACCTGGAGCTCTATCCACTGCACCACCAAACTGCCCTCACTGAAACCTCCCACCCCCCTCAATCTTGGAGCATGTATCTGTCCTCATGGTCTCAGCCAGACTCTTAAGAGTTGTCTTTGTTGCCTTTACTCTCTTTTCTCCAGTACTCTTCATCTTTTGCAGTCAGTTTCTCACCTCATCACTCAACTATAACCACTCTCTACTGAGTTACCATTAACATCTTTATTGTCCAATATGATGGTGATTTTTCTCAGCCCTCATTTTTCTTTACCTAACTGCAACATTTGACCCTGCTGATCCTCCTCTCATCCTGGATACTCTCTCCTCTCTCTGAATCTTCTGCTGTGCCGCCTTTCAACTCCAGTGGAACAAGGTCTCCCTCTCATCACCTCTAATCTCATCTCCATGCTACCAACTCAAGCTTTGAGTGACACCACCTGCATTAGCCTCCTCTCCCCTGTGACAGGAGGGCTGGAAGTTAGAGTCCTGAACTCCTCCCACTGCCTTCCTTTATAGGGGGCAGTAACTGGACTTTTGGGGCTCACTCCATTCTGTATCTGCTGCTCTGCCTGGTTTCACAACTCCATGGATCAAGATGACCCCAGGCCAGCAACCCCCTTGGTCTACTCTCTATTCCTTTGTCCCACCCCCTCTTGCCTCCATGTTGTCTCCCTTATTAGATTTGTCAGCTTCTTGAGGCCAGGGACTGTACTTCTTATTTATTAATGTATCCCCAGTACTTAGCACAATAGTTCCTGGAGCATAGTAGGCACTTAATAAATGTTTATTGGATTGTATATTCACGATCCTATTCTTTCCTGGTTCTCCTACCTGTGGTTCTGTTGCTTCTCCCTTTCTTTTGCCGTTTCATCATCCAGAGCATGCTAGACCACACTAATTATGAATGATCCCTGAGGTGCTATCTCAGACCCCCTTTTTTTCTTTTTTCTACATTTTCTTTCTAGTTAGTTGACTCTATCATCTCTTTTCCCCCTCTCACTTCATGATCACATTAGCTCCCCAGAATTCAACTAATATCTCTATGCAAATGATTCTCAAACTCAATCTGTCTAAAGTAGAACTTATTATCTTAACTTGTTGTATTATAGAGGTCACCACCATCATCTTCCCTGCCACTGTGACCTGTAACCTTGGTGTCATTTTCAACTCTTCATCCTCATTCACTCCTGATACCTAATCTGTTGTCACATCTGTATATATTTACTTTTCTAACCCCCTCCTTCACCCCATCCCACCCCCAACCCCCTGTAGGCCCTCATCCCCTTGGGCTTAGACCATTGCAGTAGTCTTCTAGATGACCCCTTTCATTCAAGTTTGTCTCCATTCCAGTCCCTTTTTAAAATTTTCTTTAGTTTAGTATTTTATTTTTCCACCCAATTATGTGTAAAAGCAATTTTAACATTCTTTTCTCCCCCATGCCAGGAATACTCTTTCCTTCCTCACCTCCACTTGTTTCCCTCACTTCCGCCATGATTCTGCTTAAATCCCACCTTTAGTAGAAGGCTTTCCCTGGTAACCCCTATCCTGTCCTTCTATCCTCTTGCTTTTTTAAAAAAAATTCATTTTATTTTCAATTCACAGAATAAAACAAGGATTTCCATAACACAGTACGATAAAAAAGATGATTGCATGTGAAACT